CGTAACATGACCATCATGCGTCATAAAAAATGGCATCCTATGTCATGAACATAACAAAGGTATGCAAAGTATTTGCGATACGACTCATAAACTGTAGAACCAAGCAACATATGATTACAGTATTCAAGTACCATACAAGTACATACTGCGAATCCAAATACCCTTTATGAAGTATGCGAGGATTAACAATCTACAAATGAATAGCAAGCATTCATTTGACAAAAAAACAAACTTACACTATCATTGTTTCAACATTTCATTGTTTTGGAGCATATGGGGGGATACTCCCTTACAAAAAAATACATATTTAGAACCAAGAAACAAAAAAGAAATCAGACTGTCTGAATAGACATATCCTGAGGGGTATCAGCTTCAACAGCGCGCTCATTATTCACAGCAGGAGGACCTTGAGGCGATGGCTCTTGCAAGGATGGTGCGATCGTGTCTGTATCCATCGCACTAATCAGTTCAACTGGGACCTCTTGATTTTGCTCATTCAGTGTCACTAGCTGACCATCCTTGAAATAGTGGTAATAATGCACGTTTTCCATCTTGGTAGAGGGATTGAAGAAGCGCACCTGCTCCATCACATTTACGAAGGTTGCTTCCGCTTCCTTCTCAAATAAATCTCGATACCTCTTCACCTCACTGGTCAAGAATGCCTGCTCTTCGGCCCAACTATCAGCGTTTCCTTCCAGTTCCAAGATATGCTTGGTCAGGTCAGTCTTTTCTTCTTCCAATCCCTTATTGGAGGTTGTCAGAGCCTTCAGGGCGCCATCCTTCTGCGCCATAGACGTTTTCAATGTAGATACTTCATCTTCAGATTTCTTCAATTTGGCCTCAAGGTCAGCGCGCTGTTGAGCACTTTTATCCTTCAGCGCCTCAATTCGCGCTTTCAGAAAGTCCACTGTGCCTGTTACATGTTAAAGAGCAGTAAGCATATACGCAATATCATAGCATATAAACAACGAAATATCAATGTAATTACCAGGTGCAGACATAAGGAATTGACCTGCTATGGTCAAGCTCTGGGACATCTGTAGCCATTGGTCTTGCGGCAGCGCTTCCAGACGAGTGCCAAACTCTCTGCCCTGAGCGCGACTATCTTGATCCAACCTCCAGCCAAAGTCTGGCCACTCTGTAGTAGATCCCCCGGTCATCTCCTCCAGGGATCTTTTCTTACCCCTTACGGTATTTTCCACCACTACCACAGGAGGGATGACATCAAATGGGGCGGTGGGAGGAGTTAAGGACTTCATTGGAGACTTCAACCGCGTAGCAGAATGCTCGCTTGTTTCTGCAATAGCAGCACCCGCTGACATTGACGGTTGGGGAGACCTTGAAGCACCTGCAATAGCTGCAGCACGATTGGCTGCAATCCTTTCCATTTTACTTAACGATGCTGTCATCGAGCTATCTGCAAACTAGATCAAAGAAATTCATGATTAAAGATATTTCATACATACCACGTCATCGCGGTATACTCAAATACTTTGATTAAAACATTTGCAAGTGAGTAAGGGTCTAAGTTACCCAGATAAGCTAGAATATCATCATCGGAATACTCATTCAAAATGGTGTACGTGCTCAGCGAGCCCGTATCAGAAGCTTCTCGAGCAATATTACCTAAAGTGATCCCTGTCTTCTGTTCTATATCACTCAAATCAGTAAAATTATAGACCGGGACAACGCTTTCAGTTGAATATTTTGACCAATATAACGGAAAGATGGGAGTCCCATCATCGCGTATAAAAAAAGGTTTGGTACCTTCGGCGGGGTAAATCTTGAAGTATTCTGCGCTCCACTTGTTAATCTTTCGTGAATATGACTCGTAGAATTTCACTTTGCTCCTAAATGTTATCCAGCTATTACGAGGTCCCATTATACTAAACATATACAAGAATGATTGCACAGATTTGAACAAACCGTAGGCATTGCAAACCATCTCGTACACTCTGATAAAACCCCAAGCGTTGGGAGTCAGCTATGAAGGCGCCACATTCAAATGCGCCAAAAGCTTACAAACAAAAGGTGAAAAGGGCAACCGAACACCTATGGACAGAAAAAAGAATGAGTACATCATCATGAAATGCCTGGTTGATCCTTCGGCCCGCGATGAACAAACGCGCTCATTCTTCGGGACAACACCAACTTCCCATTGGTCATCAAAAGCTTTATTGGGGGTTAGGTGGAGAGCTGCTGCTTCTTCAGCCAATTCTCCTGGGGAGCAAAACACAGACTCAGTATCGAACACTGTGTCTACCACCCAACCAAGGGTATCTTCGTACCGTAGATTCCGGCTAATTGGCTGCTCATCATCGGGGTCAAGGCGTAGGATTTTCTTCTTCGGGCCAGATCGCAATTTTTGTTTTTTCTTCTCTTGAGCACTGCGTCTTGCCATTATCTCTCTGATCTTAGGGGACACAAGATCTGATTCAGAAGAGGAAGAAGAATCAGTGGAAGAAGACAAGGTAGAAGAAATAGGTGTATAATTATCAAAATTCCTTTTCTTAAAAGGATACCCAGCAGGATAAACAACATTTAACGGTAGAGGACTAGGGCTCTTTTGACCTAAAGACTCATGCGCTGTAGAACGAGGGGAATCGCGCGATGAGCTTGAAGAGGACGATTTAGGGCTCTTTGACTCAACTGATTTATAGCTACTTGCAGTGCTCGAAGAGGAATCACTTGATAGCACAATGGGCTTTGACATGTTAAAAGAAACTGGGGGAAACACAGACGAGCTATGTTCTGGCCACTCAGAAGCCAAGCCGCCTTAACTAAGGCGGCATCCCAGTCACTATATAAACACACGATATACCACCAAGGTACGATCATCCTTTACTTTCACAACATAAACACCTGCCTCTGATACTGACTTAAGCATCAGAGTGTCTTCGCAGGTACCCCCCATTTGGCGCAACGAGAAGGACGAAGGACAGAGAGCTCAGGCTCACCCCAACTGCAATACCAGGCCCAGACCTGAAACTACCGAAGGAGTCCAACCGTGTGTGATTTGGGCTTAATACGTATTGGGCCACTCATACCGTATTTGGTCCGATCAACAAGTAAAGAATTAAAAAATTTGTAATATTTTGCAAACAAAATATGGGATTAATGTCAAGATAAATTTCCCTCACCAAAAAAAATGTCCAGATAAAATTATATCCTGAAATCTTATAACATGTTGTTTAGAGGTATGGGAAAAAATACAGGATATTTTAATAAAATAATTGATAAAAAAAGAAAGTAAGATTATTAAAATATCATGTATTTTATTTTCTTAAACCCCAATGATGTTGATTTAGAATTATTGAAGATAATTTTATTTATTATGTCAAAGGAGAAATATTTTTTTCCTAAAATATATATAATTTTATTCTTTTCATCTTTTAAAAAGTAATAATTATTTTCATCTTTAAAGAATATATGTTATTATTTTACTCTATAATAATTATTTCTATTCAATTTTCATTTTTAAATAAGTATTAAGCGATAAAGATGTTTATATATTGTTATATTAATTAAATATAAGATATTGTTATTACTAATTAGTGTTACTATTAATATCAGTATTAGTTTGTTTCACTGTTAAATCAATTATATTGATTCAAGGGTTATATTTATTTTGACCATTAAATATGAAGAATTATAATCTTATATAAATAAATAAATGAAAAATATTAAATATATAAAAAAGAATTTTTTTTAAATATTAAATCAGAACCATTAAACCAACATTATCAATCAACGGTGAAATAAACTGATAAACTGTGATATTGATAGCATAGAATTAATGTTTATCATGTTAAATAGATAATTTTATAACCGACGTGGTATAAAAGTGTGAGGTAACATGTGGGGTTACATTTAGAAATGTGCGTGGGTCAAACCGAATAAGATTTTTTGAAAAATCGAACCGAATTGGTTTAAATGCTTCTATTCGAAAGTTGTTTGGTTCGGTTCAAAACTGATTCGGTTCGGAAGTGGTTGAGATCGGTTCGGAACTGGTTCGGTTCGATCCTCTTTGAAAAAGAAAAAAAATTAAAAAATTAAAAAATAAAGTTATAAAAATCAATTTGGTTCAGTTTGGAAACGGTTCGGTTCGGAAACGGTTTGGTTCGGTTCAAAATGGTTCGGTTCTTAAACTAGTTCTAAAAACTAGTTCGGTTCATGAACTGGTTCTTTAAAAATCGGTCTGGTTCATGAACTGGTTTTTAAAAACCGGTTATTTTAAGGGCGGTTTGGTTCGGTTCATGGTTCGGTTTAGTTTTTTGATTATTTTGCACATCTCTAGTTGGGATAGGTTATTTTACCTATTTTTTTTTTGCCTGCTACTCTAAAATATCATTAGATCAGAATGTTAACAAATTTTTATCTTTTTCTCTCCTCATGAAATTCTAATCTGATGGTGTTAGAGAATAATAGGCAAAATTAAGTAGAAAAAATAATAGGTAAAATAACTTATATTCCCAGTTACGTCAACGGGAAAAAGAGAAAAAGAAAACGTTAATACCATTAATACGATTATGATCCGATCCTGAATCTATGGGTTTTACTATTTTCTTAGGAGGTGTTTGATAGAGAATAAATTATTTTTTAGCAGAGAAATATAATAATCGGAAAAATGGTAAGAAAGTCAGTTTGATGGGAAAGTTTAAAAAAAATGTTTGGTTGGGTAAAATATTACTAAGAAAATTTATTTAAATTTGCAAAATCTATGTTCGGGAGAAACTTCGCACCTGTTTTTTCACTTCTTCAGTTATCTCAAAATACCACATCTCAAGTGGTATTTTGTAACAAAGAATTTCATGCAAAAATCAACTCAAAAGTCATTTCTTCTTCCACCCTATTTGCCTAATATTTTTTTCAAAAACCTGAATCAAACGTGATATTTTCCAATATCCACTTACACTTTCCCATTAATCCAAAAATAAAACTTCTACCGAACACTACCTTAACATTTATCCGAAGAACATCATATGTGGCGGAGTGGATGAAAGCTATATTCATTCACTGTGATATCAGTCTTTCTGCAATATCGGTAGCATCCTTACTGTTGCCTCCTTCAAACACACAACATAGTTAGTTTTTCCTTTTACTTTCTTTTTAGCAGAGCCACACTTGTATTGTATGGATGTGAAAGTTTTATCTTTGTGAATGTGTAGTTTGGAATTTTCATGTGGTAGTTTGTGTGGTTCTTGGGTAATATGGGGAATTTCAAAAATCTTACTGTTTCTCTCTTTCTTTTATTAAAAAAAAAACAAACCTTTCTTGTTTTGATGGAATTTTTGGTTTTTGTTTCTTTTGTTTTTTTGTTAAACTTATATTTGAAAATTAGGTTTAATGTGAATTCTGAATTAGGGTAAATAATGCATGAACGTTCCAGGGGGTAAGGAAAGTTGTTTTAGGTGGTAGATCTTTCTTGTTTTCATTTTTATATATTTCAAAACTAAGGACATCGTTTTGGATGCATTTTTTATTTTTGATCCAGTGGACTGCTTATAAAACTTCATATGTGAGAAGAAGTGATTGTTTCTGCAACACATGTTTCATTTTATATATTTACGAAGCATCAAATTTACTAAAATGAAAGGAAGCTTGGATGTTCTATGAAAAATGATCATTATCGCAAGTATCATGATACATAAATGAACATACCGGTAAATGAATGTGGAAATGTCAGAATTTGTTTTGTGACTCTAATTTTGGTGTTAGTGATAATATTTTTACATTTTACATTGAACCTGATTGCTTTTCAAAACTATTACTAGGTTGACAGTTCATCCTGGTTTGAGTAATTTAGTCTAGTTTTCAGCCATTGGATTATTCAAATGTTTCAGTGACTTCCCTTCATCTCGTAGTTTAGTGTTGCAACCATATCGATTTTGTTTCTCTAACACTTCCCTTAATCTTGTAGTTGAATGTTGCAAACAAGTCAATTTATGCACTCTTTCATGTTTGAATGTTTATTTACAGAGTAGGAATTCTCAAAATAAGAGTAGAAGTTGCTGGAAAGATACATCTTACAGAGATAGTAGTATGAGCCAGTTCAATTACAATGACCAAGTTCCTCATTATGGTGGGGGTGTCCATTCTGCTGGCGGTGGGTACTTACCACATCAAACTTCTAGACCAATGTTTTCTACTATAGCCCCAACACCACAGTCACCATCATTGATTTGGTGTGAACTTTGTGAGGTTAAGTTGAGAAGTTACAAAAATATGAAAGAGCATTTGAATGGAAAGAGACATCAAGGATTGTTGAAACTACACGAGGAATCAAACAGAGAAGAAATTTCAAACGGACAACAGAGAGGACAGTTGCCAAATTCTCAAATGAATTCAGTAGTTGAACCTAAGCCCGTTCTTAAATCTGAGATACTTGGATGCCTGGTAGAAAATGTGAGTTCTGAAGCTACTGCTGCCAAGCACAAGAGTTGCCTGGGGAAATATATTGGGAAACCCAGTGATAACTTTGGTGCACAAGGTCATGATTTCAAGCGTAAGACTGCCGGAGCCACAAGAGGTAAATACATGAAGACAAATAATGCGATAAGAGAGCCAATGGATTCATCAAAACTTGATGTGAATGCTCTGTCAAGTTATGTAGAACCTGTTGTCCAAGTACCTGCTGCTGAAGTTTCAGCTAAAGGGCCTGAAGGGAAACCTAGGGATAACTTTGGTGTACAAAGTCATGGTTTCAAGCATAAAATTGCAGAAGCCACAGGAGGTAAATACTTGAAAACAAATACTTTAATAAGAAAACGAATGGATTCATCAAAGCTTGGTGTAAATGCTCTATCAAATCATGCAGAACCTGTAGTCCAAGTAACTGCAGTAGCACCACCATCAGGTCCTGTGGCTTCTCAGATAAAGGCTCCAACTCCTGTTGTAGGATCAAGTTTCGAGCTACAGCTTCAACATGTCTCAGCCTCTGAGACACAAGTGTTAGAAGGCAAAAAACATCATCAGATTCAAAATCCTGCTTTCGAAACAAATGTACAGCCACAATCAATCTCTGTGGAGTTGAATGCCCCAGCAGGTTCTAATATTAGAACTCAAACTGAAGATTTGAGTTCTGATTCTACTGCAATAGCAATAGCACCACCAAAAGAGCCTATGCTATCTCAGGTATTGGCATCAGAAGCAGCAGTGGGATCAAGTTTTGAATCACATACTGAAACAGAACCCCAAGGATCAGAAGCCATAGCACATTATGAGAGCCAAAATCCTACTGACAAATCAAATAATCAACTGCTATCACCTGTCTTGATGGAGTTCGATGGCCCTTCAGGTTCTGGTTTTAACACCCAAACTGCAGACGGAAGTTCAAAAGCTGAAGAAAAGATGGATGTTCTCACCACTAAATTCGGGTTAACTCAGTTGTCTCAGGTATTTCACATCATTTGCTAATTTTCAATGTAACTATCAAAGAATACAGTGGTTGTTTCTTAAGAGATCTAGTTACTAATTTGATTATAGTTTTATTCAGTATTACTGTGACAGGCCTGAATCTGCTTATCCTATCCATTTTGGCTAGTTTAGATTTTTCAATTGAATGAACCAACTATTCTACTAGTGATCTAACTTCGTGACATGTAAATAATTGTTGATTGAGTAAACCTTTTAAAACTATTTTGGTTTTTGGCATGTCTTGTCTTCCTTAAATGAGACAAACATGATAAAAATTTGAAATGAGAAGAAGAAAGAATTTTAAATGTTTTGTTTTTTGGCAATGCCTTTTTCTCAACCGTACATAACTCAAAAGCTTATGATTAGCAGCTTTTGGAGTTGTACATCTGCTTTTATGATCCATTTTAGTAAAACTGTGGGCACTTGTTTCAGGTAACTGTTTGTCTTACTTGTGGCGATGAGGGCTTTCCGGAGTTGTTGGATTTTTGTGAAACGTGTCAGGTTTATGCAGTGCATAGGTGACTTACTACTTTCCCTTTCTGTCTACTTACTTTGATGAACTTGTAGCAAGTTTTTATCGTCATACTTGACTGAAGATGCTACTACTTCTAATGCCTTATGGTCATTCTGTAATTTTCCATTAGAAGTATTAAAAGTGGGAGAATTATAGTTGATGAATCCAAAGAATATGAAATGTTACTGAAGATCATTGCCAATTCTGGTCAAACATTATCTTATATAGGAGGCTTTTCGTGTTATGTAATTTGACAGATCCTATTATGATTTTTTAGGTACCAAATTTGGGTCTTAAAATCATGGGTTAGGAAGCCAATGCTTGTATATATTAAAGCTCCCTATTGCAATGGAAATTAGAAAATTCCATCGTCTCATCCGTTAGATATGTATATCTTGGTATTTATACCCTGAACTTTTGTGTCATTTGACATAGATTTTTATATGATTCTTATTATTTTTCAAGCAGAAATATGATTTTAGATTTTGGTAAAAGTGCTTTAAAAATATGATTTAGAAGGTTTTCATTATCATATTACCTGCAGATGCCCCTATTTTTTTATTTCCATGCGGACATTCTTTTAAATTTCAAGTGGTATTGAAGGTGCTTATTAATACCTCGAACCTTTTCTTATGAGTTGATGCACAATACAATTGTATTAATACCATGAACTTCCTTTTTGGTATCAGATGCATAGAGTTTTTAGTTTGCTATTGAATTTTGTTCACAGCATCTTCTAAAACAGAAGTTTATGCATTTTATAAGATTTGTAGTTTCACATTCTTGATGCATATTGGCCTTATTCTCCTCAACTTACTCTTTTCAGGTATTGTTTAGATGGGCCTGTGGATTATACTGGTGAAGTCACCTGGTTCTGTGAAGATTGTGATGCAAAGGTAGTAGACACATCTTCTCATGATCAAAGTAAAGCCAGAATAGAGGTAACAAATTGCATGAAGAAAGTAAGGAAAAACAAGCAACAACAAAAAGCTGATTCTAGTGAGGGGCATGTGACTGTTACTGAACCACAGCCTATTGCTGATCCAGTGTGGAGGTAAGAAATTTGTTTTTGCTACCTTCATTTGGAGTTGGTGAAATTTCTAGCTTCTATGGTGAATCATTGTCTAAAGTTGAATTTTATGGCTAATAGGGGAAGCTTGTACTTCTGCGATCAAAGTATTGATATTTTCAATGGACTTCTGGCCCATTTGTCCAATTTAGCATGCCCCCAAGTCCAAGAGGAAGCAAGACTTCTCCCTGAGGTGCTTCGTGTGGACTTGCTTGAAAGATCTGAAGTATGGCCAAAGTATTTCAAGGAAAGTGGACCAAATGAGGAGAGCATTGCTCTTTATTTCTTTCCTGAGAATGAATGGTGATTTTTCTGATAAGCTAACATGCTCTTAGAGCTGTTTGGATATACTTTTTTTTCTCTAAGAAGCTCCTTTTTCTCAAAATGAAAGTACTTTTCACTTTAAGTTTGTATTTTGCATTCAACTTTGGAAAAAGCAAAAGTCAGGGAAAAAAACTAAACTGATTTTTTTTAAAAAAAAAACCAAGATTCTTGGTGTCTAAAAACGGGCCGGAATATTTTATTTTATTTTTCACTTAAAAATGCTTATTAGATACTGATTCAAACGCAGTAGTTTTGCTTTTGAAAGAAGTCCCTGTGAAAAATAATGCAATGTATATAAAGCTTTTTTTCAAACTGCCCTTACTCCGCTCTCTCTATCTCTTTAATTTAATATTGAACATTACATGCTTCTACAGCAATGAGAGGGCCTTTGACGAGCTGGTTGATGAGATTATTTACCATGACCTTATCATAAAAGCTGTGGTTAAAAATGGAGAGCTTTTAGTTTTTCCTTCTACAGTGCTCCCAATGAAACAAAGGAGTGAGTTACATTTATTCTACTTCTTCAGTGCCACATTTAAATTTCACTATTTGTAAAATTAAATTGTGTCTTAATTTTTGATTTACATGTTGTGCAGGATTTCAAGCAAAGTATTACTTGTGGGGACTCTTCAGAGAAAAGCAAACTTCTCCTAAGTCTAAAACTTGTCATAACCATAGTTCCTCTAATACTTTTTAGGCCTAGTGGTGTGGTTCTGTTTCCAATGCACGGTGGTACTCCTGTTTCCCTAGCCATTGAATTCATTAATATGTATCTATTTAGTTTTACCGAACGTTTTTGAGAAAATATGGTAGCATGTTGAGAATTTTGGACTAGAGAGGATATGATCGATGGCCCTGGTTAACATTTTTGCTCCTGCATTATTTGTGATGACAAGAGAATGCCTAAGTATGTGTTTTTTTTTTTTTTTTGTTAATGATTTTACATTTTACTTATTTTTTTGTTGATATCTTTTTATTGATGATTATAAATATATCACTTTAATTTGTTTTTATCATGTTTTATAAAACTTTTGAATCAAATAATTGATCCCTATTTAATAACTATGATTGATTAGTTTCATCGTCTTTTAAAAAATATTAAATATTACTATAAAAGTGCGATTTGATCCATAGCTTTAGCTGTCTTTGTCGTTAAAGTTATTGATTATTGAAACATACGGGTTTTGATTTCATAGTTTCTGGATGGCTTTGGTTAAATTTCAATACATCATAAGGATATTTGTATTTGTGGGAAGACTCAGAATTTAACTTTTAGTCTGCGTTCTTGTTAAGAGCGTTGAATGTGTATAAGAATGTGTGAGGTATCACAGCTACGGTGAGAAGAAGAAAGGAGAGAAGGAAGAACGAAAGAATTCAGAAAGAAATGATTGAAAATTACTATTAACTCTTGCATTACAATAATGTATCGTTGTGTATATATATATATATATATATATATATATATATATATATATTAGAAGCAAAGCTGTTGTAACTAATTCTGTTTTACTGAAATAACAAACTCAGAGTAACTTAATTGATTTGGGCCTACAACCCTTTGGGCCTCTATGGTTATCATCCCCCCACAAGTGGAGGAGGCTTGAGTGGCAAGACCCGAAGCTTGGATCGAAAGGTAAGAAACTGGGCTGTGGCTACGGCTTTGGTAAGCCCATCCGCTATCTGCTCGAGCGGGACAGTGACACGTTTTGAGACAACCTTCTCCCTCACAAAATGAAGGTTCAACTCAAAATGTTTGGTGCGTGAGTGGAAGAGTGGGTTTGCTGTGAGAAGGACAGCTGACATATTGTCACAGTAGATGGTAGGTGAGGTTGGTACTTTGATGGTGAGTTCGGAGAGGAGAGACTGGATCCAAGTGAGTTCAGCAACTGTGGCGGCAAGACTCCGGTACTCAGCCTCTGTACTGGAGCGGCTAACGACATGCCGCTTCTTTGAAGACCAGGTGATGAGATTCGAGCCAAAGAAGATGCACAAATCACTGGTCGACCGATGATCATCTGGATCGGAGCCCCAGTCGGAGTCACAATATGCAGTAAGGTGGAAGTTAGGGGAAGGTTCCACTGTTAAACCATGGGACATCGTGCCGCCAAGGTAATGTAAGATGCGTTTTACTGCTTTCCAGTGTGTATCTAGCGGGTTGTGCATGAACTGACACACTTTGTTGACACTGTAGGCAATGTCTGGTCTTGTGATGGTAGCATACTGAAGGGCTCCAACAATGGAGCGGTATTGAGCTGGATCTGGGTGTGGAGAGCCATCATGGGCTGAAAGTTTGGGACTAGGTGTCACAGGCGAAGGCATAGGCTTACAATCAACCATGTTTGCCTTTTTTAGGAGATCGGAGATGTACTTAGACTTGTTGAGAAGGAACCCACCAGAGTTTGTTTTATGGGCTTCAATACCTAGGAAATAGTGTAGTTGGCCAAGGTCTTTGAGGGCAAAGGCACTGTTAAGGGAGTGGATTAGGGACTTGATGGCTGGTGATG